TCCCTATCTTTATCAGAGCTCTGATTCTCTTCAAATATAGACATGGAGTCATCAGATTGGCTTTTACTTGGCTCATATGCTGGAATATAATAATTTTAGAATTGATAACTTAATATAAACAAAACCCATTTGGATTTTCTCATTCTTACTATGACTCTATTAAAAAATGAAAACACACCAACTTAAATTTAAACCCCAAGTTAAATTTGAGCTTGTATACTTTTATTACTTTCAATGTCACCAAAATTGTAACGATAACTCTAAAATATCAAAACGACAAAAATTTAGAATAAAATAGACTGTGTATTTGTTTAATACAGAAGCATAACATGCACAAAAATAAAACAAAACATATAGTAAACACAAAATAATTAGTATCGCTCACGACTCTTGTTTAGTCTTTTCCAAGTTATTTTTTACTACTTTTATAGTCTCGGAAAAAATGATTCATACTAGCACAAATACACCCCAGTTACTTGTCCTTTGTCCATATGAATGCGTACAGTTAATACATTTTGTTCTCAAATACGTGTGCCTGTAATCTGTTTTTCAAATCGCAATACAAAAAATTATATTGAGAAGCAAAACGAATCTTGTTTTTGAATGTCATTTAATTTAAAATTGACATCAAAACCAGGATACACGGTCTAAAAATCATAATACAGGAGAGTTCGGATTTAGTAAACTCAGATTTAATAAACGGTCTAGTTTAGTAAACATTTTTTAAAGCCCGGTCAATATAACTACCTAATGGATGTATATGTCACCTTTTTCTTAAGTAATTAATATTTCCTTTATTTAATTCGTTCAATACTAGCTAGTGCTGCACTCATCGAATGAGCTTTTTTAAACTAAATTACAAAAATTAAATAGGACTTAAATTATCTTTATTAGATTCATTTTCTATTGGGCTTAAAACTTCAGTCAGAAGTTACTCGGTCTTCCTTTGTTTAATAAGAAGTTTCTCCTGTTTAATCGAAATTGCAAAGTTTAAAAACTATAGAATACCTCTATGAACAAGTATAATATGGTTGAGTTTACGCAAGCAAAGTATTATAATTAGAAAAGATAGTTTGCAGTGAAACAGTTATTCATTTTGGAAGAGTTATTATCAACTTTGTCATCAAGCATGTCAAACTTGCGCTTTTCCAAAGCCATATTCTCTACTTCACTTTTTTAAGACAATTCATTTTGACGGATTAAAACTGATGCAAAGGATTCTGATTCTAAAAATGAAACGGACAATAAAAATATGTTCAATAAAGTACATCAACGAAATTGTAATAATATTATTATAATTACCTGAAGAATGGTCTTCATTTACGCTTTTTTTTAAATTTCAGCACCCTTGATTTAGGAGTCGATTTGTATTTAGGTCCGATTAGGCCTATATGCTCTGAGACTGGTCTATAAAAAACACAAGGTCAATTAAAAGTTGTAGTTACATACACAGAATAGAAAATTTTAAATATAATTGATATAACATTATACTTATAATTGTCACATATTTATATTACTAAAGTTACCTAAAGATGGGTCTTTATCGTAATTTTTTCTTTTTCTCACAGTATTGGCTTCAATATATTATGACAACTGCAGGGCCGCCGAAATTTTTTTTGACGCTCGGGGCGTAGTATTAAGATCACGCCCTTTTAAGCGTGCATGATTTAAAAAAAATTTTATCAAATGCAATCATGCATAAATATGACTGCACACGATTTTAAAATTAATTTTTTTTAATGTGGTTTATTTTTGTTAAAATCATTTTACGGCAATATTTTCAAAAATTGCATGTTTTAAAAAGACAACTAAGCAACACAAATACAACACAAAAAACATTATTAGACATTCTTTAGAAATTAAACAACAAAAACCGGCTTATACAAAACACTCTTTTCTTACTTTTTTACCAGTAAAATTTTAAATAACATCATCATATATGACAGAGTCTTAGCCAACTCATTTTCCACTTAAAGCATCATGAGATTCGAAAGAGGTTCTTTTCTTACTGGCATTGTATTAAAAATTTGAATTAAGATGCATACATGTGGAAAGGTAGGCTGTAGAAATTTTAAATGTATTTGGTTGAGAAGGCTCAATGAGTTTCCAGGAATAAAAAGCGAAGACTCCTTTAAACGAGTAAGAAGCAAAATTTCTTTTATGAAGTTGTCTTTTTTGACATAATTAGCGTAGAACTGTGCCAATTCACGAGCTTTTATTTCTTGAGAATCTGATTCTTGATCTTTCAACCAGATGAATGAGAACCTTGAAGAAACAATTTTTACAATGTCAATCTTGACTGAATTTAATGAATAAAATAATTAAGCGCAACGCTAAAGATGTTTACCTCAAATTGATGCTCAGGGCTTTAATAGCAGGAAGCTGCATTTGCAGGTTCATTGCGATACCGTTCCAATCTCTTTTTTTGTTTTGCTAAAAATTCATTTTCAAACTAACGCTTGCGCCCCGACGTAAATTCCAGCAATATTTGAGCCGTTGTCGTTACCTTGGCAAGGAGCAGCTAAATCCTGATATGCGGATGACAAAAGTAATACTTCGAAACAACGTTTTGATAAACACTGCGTATATCTATTTAAATGGATAATTTACGCTTACTTACAGGTAGGCGCACCGCAAAAACCACATGAATGATGGCATTCTTGTATTTTTTTCTAGACAATATATTTATAAATTTTCTGAATATTTTTCATTACTACCACTATAAACAGCTTCTTCCTTGGTGTTGCTGAAAATTATTAATAACTGGTTACTTTTTTTTATTATGTCAAAAAGTCATTGTTTTTTCAATGCGCACCTCAAAAACCACATCAACAAAAACGCTAATAGAACTTTATCTAAACAAGTTTTAGCTTTAAGATTCGGTTTGTGGTAGTTATATTATAATCTGAGTTGATTGTGTACATGATTGCAGACTTAATTTTTTTGTTAGTATGTTTTTCACTACAAAAACCATATCACATGCACCCCAAAAACCACATTAGTTTTTCCTTAATATCCAATAACTTGTCTTAAAATTGTGTAAAACTATTATTTATTCTTGTTATATATATATATATATATATATATATATATATATATATATATATATATATATATATATATATATATATCGCTACTGATTTGGCAACAACACGTAACTGACAATCAATACATTTTTCAGGAGCAACTAAAAACTAATTTATTTCTGTTTAAGACATTATTAGGTAATATTTTTAATTCATATAGTTCTACTTTCAGATGCTATTATATTATATAACAAATTTTATTAATTTTTGTGGTTATTCATTTTTTTATTGCAGTTACGGATTATTACATTTCAAAAGTTATATACGTGGTATTGTTACTTGTAGATACGTGTTTTAAAAAATATTTATTTATTAACTTACGTGGTATTGTAACTCTACAAAATAATTTTTTAGATATTAAATTATACTAGGTATTGTATTTTTTCTTAATCACAATCTTTTATTAAGTTTATTTGGGTGTAGAATAACATTAAAAAAATAACAAAATAAAAATGACAACTTATAAGATTTCAACAAAATAAAATAATAATAACTTTTTAAAATAACTAATTTTTCAACTTCTTTAAATTATAACAAAATAAAATTATAATTATTAACTTTTTAAAATAATATAAAATGTTTTTTCTTATTACATATTTAAAAAAAAACCAGTCTCATTGTTTTCATTAAAATCACAAATTATAGTATACATACAAATAGTTAACAATAGGTAACAATGTTATATTCCTTTGTTTTTTCTTTGTTTTAATGTGTCTGCATGTGGTACACTGTCATAAAAAGCATGGGTGTCAACAGGCATGACATGCTTAAGCTTCTATAAATCTGTCCACTTGGATAGAGTCAATGGAATTTGTTTTGCATACAGCTTAGGAGCTCAAAATGTTTGTTTCTTGGTAATGGTAATGGTAAATAACATGAATCATTAAAATTAAGTTTATAATAGATCATTTGAGTTTCAGGGTCATATTTAAGAGCTCTGATGTCTCTAACTTCAGGATCACCCTTTTCTTTTCCTGGTCTGATTGATTTATATGTTTGGTTTATTTTATAGTCATTGAAAAATGTATGATCAAGTAATGTTGCTTGGTATGGACAAGAAGTGGTTCTAGCTTCTTTAGTTATTCTTACATAATCTGAAGGAAGATGAATGTCCTTGTTTTTTAACTTGCGCTCTATAGCACTATGTACACTATCACAGGGCATTTGGGTGTGACCTTTAACTAGGAATTTATGTTCAATAACTACATTATGTTGGACAGAAAAATTTAAAAGTGCGTTTGATAAAATAGAATTGTGATTTTGATAGCCACATCCATCAGAAAACAGAATAATGTTTTTTTTTTCTTGGTCAATATTAATACAATAGGTTTCAAGATGAGATAACAGAATACTCACAAAAACTGATGCATCTAACTCTCCCTCACATTCATTCTACCAATAGTTGTGACATTAGTGTTCGTTGTTTACATTATATATTGTGAAGTTGTGAACTTTGAGCTTCATTGAGTAATATAATGCACTAGCATTCATGGCTGGACACAATTTAACTGCCTGAACGTCCATAGTGAAAGTGTAGTTTTCTTGGTTATTTGCTTTTTCAGTATCACTTTTTAATTGTTCTTTGCCTAGATCTTTATTTAATATGTGTTCCTGATACTCATTTTCTGTTACTTGATTTGTTTTATATGAACAGCACAGATCACATTGATCTTTCCTGGGTTTAAAGATGGAAAATTTTTTTGATTTTATAAATTTGTTAAAGCATGCTCTACTTACTGGTGTATATTTTACATGTTTTGCTTCTTGGACATACAAGCTGTATAATTGTTGCTTTGATTCAAATGGCCCTTCTAAGTAAAGCCGTTTAGTTCTTTTTCTACAATAGTGGCTTTCCATTCTTGGAAGTTTATCAAACCACTTAATAAAATGATCATACCTAACTGTAAATGCAGTTTAGTTCATTTGTTCATTAGTTTCAGGATCTTTATTTTTGACATTTTTTTTATATACTTTAGGTGATAGGTTATTAGACTTTTTGACCCAGTTGTGAACCATCCATTCGTTTAAATCTAATGTTGCCAAAAACATTTTTTTACATACACGAATTTTCGTTTCATTAATATCTCTTAAATGATACTGGTATGATGAAGATCGTCTACTTTTTACTTCATATTTTCCTGTAGTCTTTCTCTTGGTATCTTCTTGTGTTACTAAATTTATAATGTAAGTCTTTTTTTCGTCCGAAGTTGTTGCCCAAAAGCAATTAAACAAATTCAATCTGTCTTCCTCAGTTAGTTTATTGCATTCCTTTGATTTAATACAAACAGTAGAATTACAGCGAGGCTTGATTTTTCTACAATCTCTATTAGTATCTTGAAATACATTTTTTCCCAAACTACGAAACCCAATATAATTTTGGCCAAACATTCTATTCTCCATTGCAGTAGGACGTTTCTTTAAATTTTTCTTATTACTTGGGTCATTTGTAATATCACTATTTACTTCAATATCATCTACATTCAAATCTGTGTAAGAAACTAACAATCAAAACAAATCATTATCTACACAATATACAACAGTCATGGTTATTTTAATTTTGTTTGTTAGACATTACCTTCAGTTAGCTCAGCTGTTGAAGTTTCTAAAATATTAATTGTGTTACAATCACCATCATTATTGCAAGTTGTACCAGTTTGTACAATTTCAAACATTTCAATAGCATCAATATCTATATCCAAACAAGAAACTAAAAATAAAAATATAATGCCCTCAAATAATTTCTATATAATGCTAAAATTTATAAATAATATCAGAGTATGTAATACAATAATATTTTTACTTTTAGCTGTATCATTTTGTAAAATGTCAAACTTTTCAACTCCTTCAATGTCTATATTAAAACAGGAAACTAAAAAAAGAAATTATTATTGTTCTGTCTTCAATTAAACTATATAATATGCTAAAATGTATAAACTTTATAAAGGTGGATAATAAAATAATATTTTTACCTTTAGCTGTAGTATTTTTGATGTCATTATCTTTAATAAAAGATGCCATAAACTCATCACTTTTCACAGGGGAATTATCTTCAAACAGTTTATTATATTGTGCATGTTGACAAGGATTTTTAACCAAATTGACCATTGCATGTGCTCGTTTTTTCGACGTCATATTGATCTAGGTGCATTATACATAAAACGACTATAAATAAAATGTCAGTGTCATGCAGTGTACACTATTTTACTATTAAATCTATAATTTCGAAAATAAAACATACAAAATATATAATACCTATTAACTTAAAATGCAGTCCACAGACTAATGTTTAAAAAGGCATTAATGCCTATAATGGCAGTATTGTATTGCTATTTTAGTAACATATCTGTCTTGCAGTTACGTGGTTTTAAAATCAAATATTTGATACGTGGTATCACTCAAACAAGTTTTAGCGGGAAATAAATGATAATATGTTAAACTAACCTCAATTAAATTATATTCTCCTTGAAAATACGAATCCAATGATACCAAAACGTCAATTTTGAAAAAAATGTCAGACACGAGTTATTGCCAAATCAGTAGCGATATATAATACTGCTCTATATTATTAGAAGAGGAAGAGAATTCAACTGTACGTTTTGTAAAAAATAAAAATAGATCTTTGCAAGGTGTCAATAAAGCACAACTGACTAAATTAATGTTAGACACATTGAAAATAAGAGATTAAACAAAAAAGAAATTAAAAGGAGGACGAAAATATCATCCATTGCCATCTGCTGCTAAATTGGCATTAAAGAATCAACGGTATTTCTACAATTTCTTTTTATTTTTAGTACTTTTAGTACTTGTTAAACTGTATTTAAACAAACTAAAACAAGCTAAACTGTATTTAAACAAACTATAAAAAAAACTTTATTAGAAAAATGTTGTTCTATGTTTGCATATTTACTTTTTTTAATTTGGCATTAGATTTTTTGATATTTTGGCAAAGATTTCATGCAAAATATGATAGTTTAACTGTCAAAAGTCAAGGACAAGTGTCAATCAATAGAGCTTTAAAATATACTAGGAAAATGGCACGCAATCACATAGGTTTGTTTGTTATTGAAAAGTGATTGTGTCATGTTTCTAGAGAATAAACAATTATCTAATTAGTTGTGTTAAAACTATGTGTTTCCCTTTTAAATTTTTTTCTTTCTATTTAAAGTCTTATTTTTGCAAACAAATTTAGGTAATTTAACAAATGTTATAGATGCACTTGCTGAGGAACTTATTGCTGTGGGGGTTTTGACAGAAGCCGGACACCTTCATGATGGGGTTTGGAAAGGAAATATTGGCACCACAAGAGTTTTTAATAATGACGAAACTCCACAATTCATTCATTATGGTGTTGATGGAGCTTCTACTGGTATGGTCTATGCTGCAAAGGGAGATCAATCCAAAAAACTGAGAAAAGAAAACAGAGAATGCGTTACTATCCATCCCTTCGTGTCATTCTCAGGTTTTATTTTGTTTTAGTGTTTAATGTTTTTGGATTTTAACAAATATATTTGTAAAACTAATTTTCTTCTTTAAACTTTGTTTTCTAACATGTCTATTATCATCAATGTTTAACTTATATTCACTATACATTTATTCATACATTAAAAGTACCAAAACTGTGTTGTTTAGTAACTTTTTAAATTAACTTGAACTAGATAATATTACTAAATAATTTATAACTTACAATTCTAGGAGAGGTCTGTATGTGTCAAGTAATATTCGGCAATGTTGGTATAACAAGTCTGATGGTACCAAATGAAGCAGCAGCTAAAATCAAGCATCTACTGGTAACCACTTCAGAACATGGCGTATCAGATGGTCATACACTTTTGGCCAATTTTATGGAGTTTGATGAATATTTAAAAGAGAACAATGTTAAAAGACCTGTGGTCCTATTATCAGATGGACACAGTTCCAGATTTGATTATCATGTTATGTCGTTCCTTCAATCAAATAACATACGGATGTTTCCTACTCCACCAGATACTACAGGGGTTACACAATTATTAGACCAGTTAAATAAAAATATTCATCATGAATATAGAAAAGAAAAGATGAAATATTTACTGAAGCATATTCGCTAAACAAGGAAGCATTCATGCTTATTTTAGCCAATATATGGGATAAATGGGCAACAAAACCCACTCTCATAAAAGCCACAAAGTGATTTGGTATTACCAATGAATGTTTGAGCATTGAATTCATGCAGCAGTACAAGTTTGATAGAGCAGATAATTGCATGGAGGCTCCTGAAAAAACATCAGTTTCATCCCCTAAATCTACATTACCTAGCCCTTATTCATCTTTTGTTGTCTTCCCTGATAGACGAAGAGGATCAGCACTTTATTGGAGAGAAAAGTTTGAAAGTGCTCAATCTTTGATTAACGAGCTTCATGAGAGGAGCATCCAACTTGAGGAGATACCAGGATTTATGACTATTAGAAAAGTAAAGCCAAGTTTATCCACCAGTTCAATACGAATAACTCAAGTCCATGGGTCCATGAAAGCTGAAGACGTTTTAAGTTTAGTTGCAGACATAAATATAAAGAAAGAACAAAAAGTTCGATAACAATTGGAAAATACAGAAAAAAAGAAGTCAAGAACATTTTAATTAAATGTAAAGAGAAATGTGCGTGCACTGAAAACATTTGAGAAGCAACAAAGTTTAGGGAATGTCCAAAATGCCATGATTTTTTAAAATCCCAATGCAGTAAGTTAGCGTGTCGTGTTGAAGGCAAAAAACCTACAATGATTTTTCCTGTTTTAGCTTTGCAAAAAACAGCAACAAATCCGAGGAAAAACTTATTCAATACAAATAATAATACATCAGAGAGCGATGAAGAATTTATGTAGATAGAATTTATGTTAAACTAAACATTCTTTTAAAATGTAATGTATAATTTCAAGTTATAGTAAACATTATTTTAGTTGTGGTTTTTGACTTTTAAGTTTATTTTCCATATGCACCCCAAAAGCCACATCACTATTAGGTTGAACTTGGCTCAATAATATCGAAAATAATATTTCAAAAAAATGTACCCATATGATTATTATTAAAAAGGATACTTAAGAGCATATAAAAAAGTTAACTTTGCAAACTTAGTCTGAAGTTTTCATGGTTTATGGTGTTTTAACTAAAAAATTGGATTTAAAAAAACAGAGAAAGTTTTAAAAAAAGTGCAAAAAAACTACTTTCAAATATAAAAATAGCAAATCTGATCTATTTTTCCATTTTATTAAATTATTCCATTTTAAACATTTACGTGAAGAAAATTCTATATCTTATATTTTTTATATTTAAATCAACCTAGCTGCATTCTAATAAGTGGCTTTTTTGTTTTTGAGGTGCGTAAGTTTTTGCGGTGCATATACCTGTACTCCAATCATATTTAAACGCTCCTCCTATTTTAAAATTTTTGAAATTCTTAAAGTTCTTTAAATTATTATCTTTTGCTGTTATTTCATTTTATAAGTGATACTCAATTTAATTATTTAATTTGTTATTGCTACTTTTATAAAAAAAAGTAACTTGATTTTAAAAAAAGTTTATATAATAGTTAATATTACAAACACAAATATAGAGACCATGGAATTGCTCTATATTTGCGAAACGTCAAAAAGTAAACAAAGGGTGAAACGTATAACTTTGAATTTTGCCTTGCACAACAAATTCAATTTTTTTTCATTTTAAAAGTGCACAAAAAATCTTTAAAGATTTAAATCATATAGATTTAAATTTTTTTTTGAAATTTAGAAATGAATTATGAGCAATAATTGATATACTTTGGCATGAACTCTGTTAATTCATTTATCTATATCTTATATAATATGCTTAAAATTATGTTTACTTTTCCCAAGAAAAAAATCGATGACATAGTCAAAATGACATACATCTACTTTGTAGTAATATCAAA